CAGTATTGATTTGAGGGTTTTATTTATACAACCATAAAATTCCACCGCAATTGAAACATCGCGCTGACAAATTTTTGTGAGTATATTCGATGTAATAAGTGCAAAAGTCACTTTAAAAAAAGCCCGACCCTGCTTGTCAAAATCTGTTTCCGCATTTTTCAAGATCTGATATTTGTATTTTGCCTGATTTGTAGAGAATTCAGCACTAAATCTTTAGAACTTGTAAGTAGGATCAACTGTGTGCAAGACGGACTCACTATCCACTGAATGAAACATTAAATAACTTTTCATAAGATTCATCCATTGATTGAGCCACTGTAGCACAAAATGACATTTTACCCAACTTTGACAAGGCACTCTTATCATGAATGAATGAATTTCGAAACGGTGTATAATGGTAAATATTTGGATGCTTCCATAAATGCAAATGAAAGTGTCAGCAAAGGAGGGACTCAGGAAGCAACGTAGAGGCAGTTTCAATGCCTTCTAAAAGTAATGGTTGCATCGAATGAGCACCGTTTGCAATTATAAAAAGAGCTAGCTTACATAAAACGTCGGTTTAGTGCACGAACGGCAGATAATCCCAAACCGTGAAGTAGATTTTATTTGTCTTTATCCGTAGATAATTAGGGCATAACACTTAAAGCGCACTTCATTATCAAAGCATTTCATCATAATATGCCATGAAGGAAATTTAAGACTTAACTTAGCCGACTAAGTTCATTTGTTTTTAATGATTTTTGGGGGAGACATTGCAGCATTCACAGGCCCTAACATAATGTTCTTTGCATATTATTCAAATATTGATGTCTGTTCCAAAAATTGGAAGATACTGTACAAGGTGAGTGTATAAAAAAAATAATAAATTTTGCAAAATGGGGTCTGCATATGGCAAAGATAAAATCACAGCGGAAGCAGGATTTGGTGGGTTTCTGGGTCAGTGGTCTCTCTGAGAGGGCTGCTTCATGATCAGTCCTCTTCCTCCCCACAGATGTCTCACACTTGCAGCTACTTTCTGCTGCATTAGATAGACGTGCAAACACGCTCTACAATTAAAAGAAAAATTTCTCTCTTTGTAAAAAATGCAAAAGGGGTTCTCAAAAACATTCAAACGATTTATGCACACGTGGTTCAATACCAAATTGCTGGTTTTAGAAGAAATATAACTGTGGCGTTTTCAGAGCAGGAAAAATTACTTTCGTAACTTATCCAGGACTTTGGCATTTGTATTAGGAGCATTCATTAATTTATTTAAATCGCAACACACCACTTCTATGCACAGCTTAGGAATAATCACAGCTCTTTTTAATAATAATGCATGAAATTGTCTCGATTTAAGACAGGTGCCTGTTTTAAGGTCTCAAAGTAGGATAACGGTAGACTTAACTTTGTGAATGGAAGAGTTAAGGCTTTTCACTTTTGCAAGTAAATCCTAACTCTGATTGAATGATTGGAAGCAGAAAAACATGCCAGAACTTTAAAAGTTTTGCATTTGCATCTGAAGGAACAACAACAAATGTGATCAGCAACAAACACAAATGCTCCACGACTTAACTGGAGATTGCGTGGCAAGCAAATTTGCTCTGTTTTTCGAGTTGATTAGCTGCTAAGTGTCCAGCTCAACCCTATCCAGCAATGAGCCTCAACATTTTTATCCACTTTCCTCAATGCAACTGATGATACAGCAGAGGATATCATGCATGTGCTGTAATAGCACCCTTGAAAGGGCTTGCCAACAAATAAGTTATGCATCATCTGGCTGTGTCACGGGTTCACTAACATCTCTTTGTCTTAAATTAACGAGTCAAATTACTCAGCTCATGTCAGCTTAGTTCAGCCCTCACCTCTCTTTTGTGATCCCACGATTACAAATATGTCCATAAAAATCGACCTCGTCTAGTGCTACAGGAATTAACTCCAGCGCCATTATTTCTTGGCAGACCAAGTTTTCCCCAACAATAAGCAGGATAGCGAATGTGGTGATTGGGCTAATAAGGTGAAATCGTTTGCTAATTTAAGGTCTGTATAGATTTTAAGTAAATATACAGGAGCTGCCTGAGATTTTATTACAAATACTGAAATCCGTTCCTACTCTTTATAGGAAAGTATCTGGACTTACGTTAAAAATACCCAGGGAGCTTGTACCTTCGCTACAGAAATGTGAATATGCTTTTCCCTAACATGGTTCCAAAATCAGTCGGTGTGACTTAACGTCATAGGGGTCCTCCTCCTTGAGATAGAAAAATTCAGGCATAATGAGAACATGGCGCTACTATACGTTCCTTTCTTAAATGAGTCTGAGTTTCAGTAAAACCCTTGTATTTACTGACAAATCCGTGCCCTGTTTACGTTTACAGGAGAAAAGCAGTTTAGGATCT